AGTACACTCTTTCGGAATAATCTTGTTCTCGCTGTGTCTCCAAAGTATTGTTTGAAATATAAAACCAAGGATCACAATTGTCTACTTGATAATACTGCGAAGAGAAATAATCAAGTGTCGCTGTAACGTTTTATAAGAATAAATTACCTGGCGCCCTCGTATCGTTATATTTAGCGAAAGTTGTACATAGAAAAAGTGTAATTATCTTCTCTTGAATCCGTATTTCTTCCTCTCGTAGAAGAGATCCGTCTTTGAGCTTCCCAAGTTGACTATTTTAGGACAGCCGTCTCTCTGAAAGTATTTTAGCACGTGCAGTTCGCAATAGGAATTTGTGGGCGTAAAAACGATGCGGGGACTATGGAACGATATGGGAACGTATAAGCGTAGAATATACTAGTTTTCTTACGTCTTTTTCCTGTATCGTGCACTCTTTGCAGTAGTAGGCGTCCGACACGCCGGGACCGCCGCATATCACGCAACGTCCCTGATAAGAACCGTAATTGCACTCGTCGCATATCCGAACCAGGGTGCACGGCCTCACGTAGGAGTCGCAGATGACGCACTTGCCGTCGCATTTCTCGCACAGCCTACCGATAGCTGAAAGCAGAAATACGGCCGTAAAGTGACGGACTTGGCCCGGAGGCTGGACTTAACCTCAACTCACCGACTCCCGGCTGTTTGCGACAGAAAATCAAATCCGGATGATGCTTGGCCATGCCCGCCGAGAGCCGTTACTTGCTCTTGAAATGACTGAGGATTGGAAAGCGATCACATCGACGTTTAGGACCGTCTAACGACTTCGGAGCTCCATCCGTTTCTCAGCTTGTTGTCATATCCCGAACCCGGTGCGTTCCGAAAATAAGTGCAGTTAGGTGTAATTCGCGTGTAGCTTCGTATGGCTTGGTCTCTAGTCTCTTGAATTCGTGGCCGGCACATACGGAACCACAGTATAACCAGTAGTTGCACTCTCTGTCGGCGCCTTTGATCTGGGCGTTCTCAATTTTCCGCCATGTTTTTATTCGCGCCAACAGTGTATCA